TGGATGGATTGTTATTAGTAATAATTGTTTTATTATTGTCAATAATCCCAAAGTTCATGTTCAATAATCCAGCTATAAATCCAACAATGTTCAGTCAGGTCATCTGGAAGAAAACATTTTGCTTCAGTTTGGTCTGGTGGCTCCTCAGACTGAAGAAGTCTTTCAGATGAAGGACGAAACGTCTCAGCAACAAAAGAAACCATCCAGATGACCTTATTGTCTAGAATATGAATGTTGGAAAAAACAACAACATTGTACATACCTGATATAATTGTCATATTTCAAACTAAAAAAATCTGAGAAAAAAACATTTCAGCTTTTCCCAAGTGACATTTGTAAATGTTTTATTTTTTCTTGGTTAAATATACATTGCAGCTTTAGCTCCTTTTCAGACTTACTATCAAATTATCTACTAAAGTCTGACAGAACTCCTGTAGCATTTAACCATGAACATTTGCCATAATGAGAATACTTTGAAATGTAAAATGCATCATGCAGACCGTGGGAATGATCGCTCTCCGTCCTCCTCGTTTCATTTTTTTTAATTTTGAAAACACAAGTTTGAATTGGTTACTCTTCAATGTTAGCATAAACCCAACGCCACCAAGAGGAAGCTGAAAGCCTAGAATGATCTTACCTGTCGCGCATCTAAATTATTGACCTCGAGTTGTAAATAACAGCCTGCTGAGATTTGCTCCCAGTCATTAAAACTATGAGAACCTTCCAGTTAGATTTTTTTTTACAAATGGATCCATTAGAAGGCCAAACCTCAGTTTTATAGTCCTTGTAATTTTCTGCTAAATTTGTATATGTAATTAAAGAGATGTCTCCTTGATTCAAAATGTAAATGTTATGTGTAACTGTTTAAAACAGTTAAATCTCTGATGATGTAGCAGCATGACATTTTTCTGTTTTAGTTCTGATTGCTGTGTTGTACAAATGAACTTTTAGGGACAAAATGTAGCATAATGCTAATTAAACTGTTGTTTTTCTTCCTATTCCTGTATTTTCTGTTAAAGTGAAAGTTCAGCTGTGTTCAGGTGGAGTTCTGTGGAAAGGTTAGAAACAATTAATATCTTACCTGTTGTAGACAACTATTTGAATGACCTCTATTTGGAGAAATAGTTTTGTTCTGATCCAGTTGATGTGCTAACAGCAAGTCTGAATGGAACCAAAGTGAGTTGGTGTCATTGAACAATAGTGTTTAAACCTGTTCATCACAACCAGTTTCACATTACCCAATAATTTAAATGGATACTGCGGTTATTTGAAAGTGTAAAAAAGTATAACAGCTAGCTGTAGCACTTCCTGGGGCCCTTCCAGCAATAATATTATAAGATTTTCCTGAATATTTGTGCAATTTAAAACTGACTGTGTTTTAAAGGTTAATAAACCAGAGGCTGTGAAATATTTAGGATTGTATTTGCTTTAAGAAGACAGCAATCCACTCCAATCTTGCCCCCCAGATTAGCTGTTAGCTCATCAGTCTGGTCAAAGTTAAACTCTTTTGCTCTAAATTGAGCTCATTCATAGAGTTACCTACAGCAGGTAAGATGTTTATTTTTTAGAACCTTTCCACAGAACCCCTCTTTAAAAGATATCTATTGAGGGACCTGCTAAATTTAGCCTGTTTTATTGTATAAAAGCTGCAGTACAGATGAGGTGAACTGGAAGGGCAACAATCACAGCATTTAACATTAAGACAGGCCCATAACTGAACTGCTCGAGCTCCCGTCTTTGTCTTTTTCAGATTAAATCTGCTGCAACTGTAACTTTTCAGCTTATTACCACACTTTAATAAGCTCAGCATCATTATCTGCTGCACGGTCCATCCTCTTAGTGTCCCAGTCGTGTTTAGCGGCAGCCTTACTAACAAACTTCGCAGTCTACACAGAACTTCAGGCCTGAACACGAGCTTTAGTGTCTGAAAATGAACATTCTTAGCTCAGTTATGCTGTATGTAAAACACATATGTCTCCCAGGATCCATGTCATATTTTTCTCTTCCACTTCTACACCCTCTTCTTTAAGCGGGACACATTCTGCATATTTTCCATCATACCCTATATTTCAGTTCAGCAGGTCACGCTTTCACTCAGCGGGGCTCCCACACAAATCTTCTGACTAATATATATGTGTGTTATTATACTGTATGCATGTGTGTAAGGCTGCACATTTTACATATCCTCCACTGAGAGTTCAAATGTCTGTCAGACTGTGGGCGGTGCACTGCGTGTCCACTGACAAATAACTGCTGGATCAGTCTTTGTGTGTTTATTAGACCCTTTGTCCAATAGGCAAAAAACTGTCCTGGGTTTCTGCAGTCTCTGATTGTTTTTGACACTAACAACATGAACGGACTTTCAAGGGAAACGTCCGAGTTCATTAAAAATCGTTTCTGCTGAAACTTGGAGATAGAACTGCAAGTTATTTTGCCACAATAGAAAATAAGAGGAATGATTGATGTGGGTTTGAAGGGAACGTTATTAAAAGCTGACAGGCTCAAGGTGACTTTCAGTGTTTACGTCTGTAGTTCTGACACATGTCTTTGGTGGAAGGAATGAAGGGAATCACCAGTTAATTACAGGTGAGACACGTCTCCAGATGCTTTGGCCTAGTTCTGAGAGCTAAGCTGCTTCAGGTTCACCTTTCAGTTTCAACTCCTTTTTGCTGCATTCCTTCTCCCTCCTACATTGTGCTCCAGATGTGGCATTGTTTTGGACGTTTATTTTAGGCTTGGGCTGGTAGACCTGAGCACAGCCTGATGTCATGCTCTATTTAAAGAAAAGCAGGGAGAACTGGGTGGAAACGAACGCGTTGTGGTTTCACATCAAAGCTTCTGTCTACGACTTACTGATGACTGTCATCCATGGTCCCAGCGTTCTGGGTCACGGACCGATGACCACATTCATTTCAGCCGCTGACAGACGAGTTATTTTGAAAAAAGTTCAGAGAGAACCAAGTTTTTTGTTATTTTTTAAAAAATTTTGCAAAAGTCAGAAACTTTTAGGTTTTGACCTTTATCTTATAACATGCATAATTCAGAGAAATAAGTATGGTCATTTTGGAAATGTTTTCATTTCTTTGACAGCATCACTGCATTTCATAACTGGTTATGGTTCAAGTGAGAGAAAGCCTGGTAACCAGAATGGAATTAAAGGCCTAGCATTCATATTGCCCACCACCTTTCGTGGCAGAAATTTAAACTGAAATCATCTCATACTGACAAGGGACAAAAAAATATATATGTTTTGGTCAAAGCTTGAAATTACTTTGTTAGCAATCTCATGAAAAATGTGAATGTTGTGTTGGTTCTATCATGGGGATGACTATCAGCTACTACCACTGCAAGTTTATCTCAATGCCTGTAGAATTGACTGAGGTTTAGCAGTTTTTGTGTAAGCTAAGGTGAAGTTGTCACTAAAATCTATCAAATGGTTCTCAATAAACAGACAGTGTGGAGTCTAGAAGTTAATACCAATTTTTTAAGCAATAAAGAATGAAATAATAATTTGTCTTTGATGTATTAGATATACAGGTACAACTAAAAAAAATTAGATATCATGGAAAAAGTTCTTCTATTGTTATTTTATTTTGGTCAGTGATTTCATAAAGTGAAACTCGTATTACATACATTTATTACACATGAGTGAAATATTTCAAGCCTTCATTTCTTGTAATTTTGATGATTATGGTTAATAAATAATGAAAAAACAAAATTCAGTGTCTCAGAATACTGGAATATTATATAGCCAGCTTTTTGCACCTTTGTCAGTGTGGGCAGGAGCCAAGTCCTGCTGGAAAATGAAATCATCATCTCCATAAAGCTGGTGAGCAGAAGGAAGCATGAAGTCTCTAAAATGTCCTGGTGGATGCTGCGTGGACTGAGTCAGAGAACACAGTGGACCAACACCAGCAGAGGACATGGAGCCAAACCATCACCGACTGTGGAAACTTCACTCTGGACTTCAAGCAACGTGGACTCTGGTCCTCTTCACTCTTCCTCCAGACTCTGGGACCTTGATTTACAAATGACATGAACATTAACTTTCATCTGAAAGGAGGATGTTGGACCACTGAGCAACAGTCCAGTTCTTCTCTTCAGCCAGGTGAGACGGCTCTGATGCCTCTGGTTCAGGAGTGACTGGACTTGTGGAATGAGACATTTGCAGCTCATGTCTAGGAGTTAATCATCTGATCAGGGTGTGACACCAGGAGTTTACAATACTGAACCTCTTCACAATATTCAAATTTTCTGAGACACTGAATCTTTTATTTTTTATTATTATCTGTCAGCCATATTCATCAAAATTACAAGAAATAAAGGCTTGAAATATTTCACTATGTGTAATAAATGTATGTAACATGAGTTTCACTTTCTGAAATGACTGACAAAAAAAAAATGTCACGATATTTTAATTTTCAAACGCTCTCTGTATATGTTGCATGTCTCAGCTGTTTTCCATTTTAAATACAAATTCACACATTGATTTTTTTTTTTTTTAGCTTTAGGGGATGGAAAAGCAGTCCTCTTTGGAGACTGAGCTCCTTGTTCATTGACACTGTCTATGTGCTGGAGACTCAGCAGCAGCTTATTATCAGCCTCTACTGTCAGATTCCCCATAGGAGCTCTGCCTCCAGTACTGTTTGGTTTTCAAACACATGTATTTGTCAGGTCCGCTGCAGCGTCCCTGGTTCAAATAGCTCAAAGTTCTAAACCCTCTGAATATTTCCGGGTCAAATGGGCATGTTTACTAGATTCTCTCAACTCTCTCTCTTTACTCCTTGGTGTTTGACAAAGGAGTTCACAGTGGCTTCTTGGCCTTTTTTGCAGCAGTTAAAAGTTGGAAAGAATGTCACGAAGCTGCAGCAGACGACTGGTATATTTCCATTCATTCAATCCCTCGTAGTCACACGCTTGCAGATGACGAAAAAGAGGAACGTTGCATTTGGATACTATAGTCGTTGGTCAATAAATCTCATGGCATCTCAAAAACTTACTTCACTTCCTGAAATCCATTGTGGGTTGTTTTTTTTTTCCCAAAGCATTGCTCCTAAAACACACAAGAGAAGTACAGATTCATTCAGGTTAAAAGTTGAAACTGTCATCCAGTAAAAACAGTGACCTGAATGTTTTTAAAAGCTTTGCTTGCTTCACCTGCATGGCATGACAGATTTCAGAAACCAGGTAAGCTGTCCATTTGTTCTCCCCCATGTTTGTCTTACATCCATCTTCTTCATTCCAGGAATACTTAAGCAGCTCCACTTTACTGCACAATTGGAGTTTTTTTCCATTTTTTTCAGCTCGCATATATATTTTTTTGTTTTTGTATTATTTTAAGAGCTATACATGAAGGCAGATGTTTCTGTCTCATAAAATGTGTGTCTGTGGGTGCCTTTCTCTCTGGATCCAAAGTTAAATGCCACTGTGGGGAACTTCAAAGGCATGTTTACAGTTCTTCATGTGCAGACACAGAGGCAGAGTTTTGGATAATATATATTTACTTCACTATATGAACATAAACAATAAAAGGCCTAGCATTCCTTAAAAAAATGCATATCGCCTTTCATGTCAGTTTAAGATTATAATTGTCTTGTGTTGAGAAATGTCAGAATGACAAAGTTGTAGCAATTTTGGTCAAACCTTGAACGCAGCTTTATGCTCAGTGTCATGTGATGTCGCTAGATGTCCCACCCAAAGTATGTGCTGTTAATGACTCTCAGCTACTACCACACCAACCTCAGTAAAACTGAAGTTATAGACATTTTTGTGTTATGATGCTAACCCTAATGTTGATTAGCTGTGACAGCCAACTTGGATTGAGTATAAAAGTTAATTAGTTGCAGATATAAATACATTAATGTAAAGTATGTTGGGAAACTTTCATTAAAATCCATCCTGTGGTTCATGAGATATTTGGCTAACAGACAAATAGGGTTGACTCAAACACTTTCTTCTAAAGTTTTACGCAAATATTTTACATAATGTGTAGCACTGGGAGTACCGGTATGTGTTGTTAACGACTCTCAAATACAAATACCCAATTGTAGCACGGTATTTTTTAAACTGACTAAATTATAGCCATTTTTGTGTTATCAAATTTCAGTCGGCTGTGTAAGCCATATTGAATGAGTTTTACTTTGAAGGTTAATCTGTTGTAGAGACACATACAAGGAATATTGCCTAAAGGTTTCAGTCAAATCTGTGCAGTGGGCGATGAAATATTTTGCTAACAGACGAACAGAGTTGATCTTAAGTAGTTTTAAACAAAGGTCTTGCACAATCTGTTAACAAACAAATCGAGTGTTGAAAATCAGACTTGGCTACTATCACTCCAAATTTTAGGCCTCATTCATAATAGTCAAATCATCATACTAAAGTTTGTGAGCTCTTGTTTGCTTCAGATAAACCCTCACGAAGGTCTCACTCTTGTGCACGAGTCGTTTGTCTGGCTGCTGTCCAGCGCAGCACCTAGAGTTTCCTGCGGCTGCACGAGGCCAAATATTACACACCGTGAGATGATAACAGCTTACCCCAGGGGTCAGGAGGTCAAGCACATAGATGATCACTGCTTCCGCTTTAGATACTGTTTATGAGTGCGTGTATACACACCGTGCAGTCTGTCAGACAGTTGTATACACCCCACACCCAGGCTGAAGCTCACACAGCTGCCACAGCCAAACATTCACACAGTCTGTTTTAGGAACGGGGGGAGGACTCAGGGTGTGTGTCTATGTATATCATATTGTGTGGACCTAAATATATTCACACAGTCCAATTGTGGGGACTTTTTTGTGGGCAATAGGTCCCCGTCATATAAATTATGACGTCTCAGAGCGAAAACCTGAAGTAACTGTAAGGTTTGGGGTTGAGCAGGTGGTGATTATGGTCAGGGTTAGTTAGGGTGAGGGTTACGTCTCCCAGAAATGAATCAATGGAATCTCCTCTGGAGTAAAGGACGTGCAAACAACAAAGTGTCTGTGTGTGAGTGTGTGGCCTAGGCATTGCTTGTGTGTGTGTGTGTGTGTGTGGGGGGGGGGGGGGGGGCATTTGTGAACTTGTTTAACTTAACTAATATTCCACTGACACACACTTCAACTCTAGCATAAACACACACAATCATGAGCATAGAGTCTGACCTCGATGCTAACAGAATGTTCCACATCGTTCTGCCTCCTCCTCTATCTTTGATCGATGACCGCCTCAAGTTCTTCCTAAAAAGCTTTAACATTTGCAGGATGCTGTGCATGCTGAAGTATAGTTTGACGCAGTTTTTCCAGGAAACATAGAAGTTTTACTAAAGGCCTAAGTACTCTGTGAACAGAATGCGCAGTTTTTTTTCTCAAAAACTGACTTTTCATGGGCAATGAATGAACTTGTTTTCATAAAGCTAAAACAGGTGGCAGGGCTGTGGAAACTGAGGTGCAGATGGAAGTAGTGACTGGGCGGGGTAATGACAAAACATAAAACAATGGATTTAAACATTATCATTTACTGTGGAAGTGTCATATTCGCTGAAAAGTCTCTTAATTTGTCTGCTACTTCTATTTGTGTGTACATATGAGGTGCTCTTGTGTGTGTGTGTGTGTGGGGGGGGGGGGGGGGGTTAAATCACAGATCCCCCCCCTTATCATTTGGCTCTGAGACCCTTCTTGTTTGCTCTGGTGATGGACCAACTAGCAGATGAGGTCAGGCAGGAATCCCCGTGGACTATGATATTTGCAGATGACATTGTGATCTGTGATGAGAACAGGGAACAGGTGGAAGAGAACTTGAAGAGGTGGAGGTATGCACTTGAAAGTATAGGAATGAAAGTCAGCCGTAGTAAGACAGAGTACATGTGTGAATGAGAGGGAGGTCTGTGGAACAGTGAAACTACAAGGAGCAGAGGTCACAAAGGTGCAGGACTTAAAGTTCTTGGATTCCACTGTCCAAGAAAATTGAGAGTGTGGTAAAGAGATGAAAAAGAGAGTCCAGGAAGGATGGAGTGGATGGAGAGAAAAGTTTCAGGAGTGATTTGTGACATGAGTGGCAGCAAAGGTCAAAGGAAAAATTTACAAGACAGTGGTGAGACCAGCTATGTTGTATGGTTTGGAGACAGAGACATTGACAAGAAGACAGGAGAAAGAACTGGAAGTGGCAGAAATGAAGATTTTGAGGTTCTCCTTAGGAGTGACAAGGATGGATAAGATTAGGAATGAGATCATCAGAGGTACAGCACAGGTTGAACAACTGGGAGATAAAGTTAGAGAGACCAGGCTGAGATGGTTTGAACATGTCCAGAGAAGGGACAGTGGGTTTATTGGTAGAAGGATGTTAGAAATGCAGCTGCCAGGAAAAAGATAAAGAGAAAGTAGAATGCAGTTAGAGAGGACATGGAGGTAGTTGGAGTGAGGACAGAGGATGCAGAGGACAGAGTGAGATGGAGGAGGATGACTCACTGTGGCGTCCCCTGAAGAGGGAAAAGCCACAAGAAGAAGAAAAAGACCATCAGCTGCTGTCTGTTAAAGAAATCATTGCATGAACATCTACTGCTGATTTCCTTTTGAAATCATCCCAATTCAAGGTGGCTAATCAACATTAGCCAACACAATAAAATGTCTAGAGCTCAATCATTTTAACAGGAATGGAGCTAATTTGATGTGGTAGCCACTGAGAGTCATTCACAAACAGTACTCTGAGTGTGACATCTCGTGATATCGTGAGACTGTATTATTTCCGAGGTTTGACCAAAATGGTCAATTCTGTCATTTCTCAGAGAAATGATCTGTGAGATGATCTCAGTCTAAAACACTGAGTGAAAGGCGATACGCATTCCTTCAAAGAATGCTAGATCTTTAATTTAAGAACGTTTTACTCCTAGAGAGACGTTACGTTCAGGCTTATCTGCGGCCGTCTCCATGTGTGTATTTAAGCTCACTTACATGTGCTTTTGTTTAAATTGCTCTTTGTGGTTTCTATTTCTTGGTTTTATTTCTGTAGCATAAAGCCAATGCCACCCCTCAAGAGTCAGCCTCAGCACAGTAGTGTATATCTCATTTCCGTGTTTGCATGTAACCCTTAACTGCCTGGCAGACAGAAGAAAAGGACTTTCTATGTGAACCATATGTGATTGCTGATGCAGATGGGAAATGTTAAAGCAGCAGACAAGTTAAAGAGTCTGGCTTCATCTGCCAATCTCTTTCACTCTCCTTCGAACGTCAGACATCAGACTGACAGTCTGTGAGATGTTAGCAGGTCCTAGACACCCGCCGAGGAAGTAAATGACTTCTGATTCTGGAGATAGGAGTCGTTTTACTTTGGATTGGACTTGTAGGTTTTCTCTGAAGTCACAAGAGCAATTTTTTTTATATTGCAAAAAATATGCTCATGATTTCTGTCATTTTATGCTTCTCAATATTATTTTTTGTGAGCTTGCCATCGGAAGATCGCCAGTTTGATCCTCCAGACCAACAAGATCAAAATGTGGGTGGGAAAGGTGAAGCACCCATGCCTGCCTCCACCCTCATTTGCCCCGCTCTGGGCCCTTGAGCAAGGCCCTCCCTTAACCTCACCATCTGCTCCCCCAGGCACCCTAGTTGGCAGCTCCCTGCTCCACACAGAGGGCTGTGGCAGCTCAGTGATCTGTGGTTGCGTCAGGAAGGGCATCCGGCGTTAAAACAAATGCCAACTCTTCGTGCGAGTTAATGGCGATCCTTGAGGAATGGAGCAGCCAAAAGAAGAAGAAAGAAAAAAAAAAACTATTCTCTCTAGCTATGTTTGGTGGAAATTAAATTATTTTCCAGTCTAATTCTTACAAAAGCCCTCATATTTATTTTAAACTTCTTAATTCTGTTTAAGTCTACAGTAAACTGAAACCTTTACTGAATAAGATTTATGAGTTGATGTACTGTACGGCTAAGTTAGGGATGAAGATAGTTATAGCATAATATGAGCCACTATGTAAAGCCCAAAATATGCTTCAGCATCAGATCAACGTAAAACCTGTGGCATAATCATGTGCCTACATTAAATCTGACTTTTACCTTAGTGGTAGTTCAAATTGTTAAAGAGTAAATTATCTGAATAGTACATATTCACAAGGCGCACTATTGTAAAATGTAAATTTTCGGGGGGTCCTATAGCCCAGGGGAACCGAGAGGCCAGCCGAGTCTGGGTGGACGGATCAGATGGCCAGGTTCATCGTATCTGCTGTGGGACAGACCTTTACAAAAGACCCTTCCTGCTTACAGCCATCAGTATATAACATCTCTTAATGAAACGAGTATAATGAGTTACAACAACATTTAATTTCCCTTTGGGGATGAATAAAGTATTTTTGAATTGAACTGAATTTGAAATGGCTGGAACAAACTCGAGCTTTGCAATAGTACCACCTCAATAGCAGCAATAAGCAACAATAAATGTTTTCTGCCTGCAGCTTTTTCCTTATTTTTAAACCTGTCACTCTAGTTTCATACACTTCAGTTTCTCTGATGTTTTTTTCTGAATTTCTGTGTTGCATAGTTTCAGTAAAATAAAATTCAACATTTGTTCAAACGTCACACTCCCAATAAATTAAAGTTAAATCCAGCACCTTAACATTTTTTATTTACTAAAGTAGAATTATAAACCTAGCTACCAAGAAAAGCTGTGACACCGATACATATAGAGAAATGAAAATGCATTGGTGTAGACTACTTATACTCCCTTATTGTTGTTACATGAATATAATGCTGAAGTATAAAATGAACAATTTGCACTAAACTTAGATTGTGTTGTTCCTCTCATTATGTGACGCAAATACGGTTTTAAAAATACACATTTGGATCACCTGCCCCTCGTTAGTCAGTAAACAAGATGCAGCAAACTGTGGCAGCAAACAAGGACATCATCGTTGCAACAATGTAGTTTGATCTGGTTATGAAAAACGTCACAAGACTATTAAGTACGAGAAAACTCAAATGGATTAGGATTATGGAAGGTATCCACACACACAAAGCTAAAAGTGACTTCATCTGAGTGACTTAAAAGTAGGAAGAGTTGCTTTGTTATACCCTTCAGATTTCTTGTTATGGTAGAAGAGTTTAATGAGCAGATTATCACCAGGATCACAAAGGATTTACTATTTTCACTTTTATTCAAGAAGCCTAAACACTTCAAAGTAGCTTAGCTGTCTTACTGACAGAGATGTACACCAGGGAGAGGGGAATCCCCTGCTTCACTATCAACAAAGAGCACTAATATTGCCTTTTTCACTGCCTCTACTTCTGAAAAGTCTTTTTCCCTCTTCTTCCCACCTTTGGCACTATTTCTTCCTTGTCCTGACTTTGCTGACATGCATGTAGGGGGAATCTACCTGTGGTCTCAACTCCTTCTATACATTTTAAATCCTCATGGCTCTGAGAAACCCTGTCCTGCCACTGTGGTCTAAGCACCTCCTACAATTATGGCACTCTCACAGGAAAGCAGCTTTGAATCAAGAAGTGCATCTCTCAGGTTTCTTGTTAACTATGGCAAAGACTGGGAGTCCGCCAGCCCTGTCATTGGGCTTTTTGTCAGGGGTACTTGTGTGTAC